CTGATCTGACCTTGAACACATTGAAATTAAAGTCGGAAGAATCTGATTTAATTGTATCTCCTACTAAGATGACTCTGAATAATTCTGATTTAATTTCGGACTCTAATAGCGATGTGGATAGTCTCGAATTGGAATTGAGTAAGTTGAATTTGCTACCTGAATTAGACCTCGACTTAGTTCACCCCAAATCCATTGATCTTAGGGTTATAACCAAACCTGATTCTAGTAAAGATAGTCATGGGAGCCTGAAAGTTTCTGAGCCTGATTTGAACAATAAGTCTCCTCTTGTTTTATTGGAGTCTATTTTTGGAGTTGTTCATTTAGATTTATATTTAGCAGATGTATTTCCTGATTTGACTTACCTCACCACCACTGTTGCCACTAGGAGACTACCTACGACCCTAACTGAAACTACCTATAAAAATGCCCTAGTAGCTAAAGATGTCTTTATTGCTCCTCCTACTCCTGTTCCCTTAGACATGGAAACTTTTTGTCCTTTCATTTTACGACTGATCTGTCTTTATTCATAGCTATGTGTGCTTGTGAGTCAGTATGTTTGTGTGTGTTTTGTAGTCTGTTTTCTTCCAAAGTTTCCTCTATTTACAACTTTGTGTGATCCCACAATTCATGCCCATCTTCATTGCACCAAGTCTCTTGCATCCACATTTGCATTACATCTGCATGGCTTACATAAGGAAATTGCACGCCCAAACTGAAGAGAGTAATAATAAGTATAAACTTCATGTTGATTCTAAAACGATATTTTAAAACTCTTAAAGTTGGTAACTCAGTGATGGTGCGGATTAGTTCGAAAATTAACATGTTAGAAGTGCGGGATCATTTAAAATAGTCACTACAATCCATGACAATGCTTACATGATTGGATCTGCCAGCAGAATTCAACGTTCATTCCTCTTTTAACATAAAGATTTAGTAGCCTGTGAGGGCCCAGAGTTCAAGCCCCAAATCCACTTCAAATTAAGCCTTGTGTGACCCCACCCTATGAGAACCCAAGCCTACCTCCACTCCCAAATATTCCTAAAATACCTATAGCGGAAGTGATTAACATGATTCTAAGTGATGACATTATTTCCACAAAAGATGGTGGACGAAGAAGCTATTTGATAAGGTGGCGAGGTAAACCAAAGATAGAAGATACGTGGATTGATCGAGAGGAGTTACAGAGTTGGATCGAGATTCATTTGCGGCTCTACACGAGCCTTTGAGACACCCACTCGACGGAGTCGAGTTTTCTCCCAGCCGGGGAGAATGATGCGAACATCAGACCCTTAATGTGCCCTCAGGGACGTGGCCGATGATCGACGGCTATGATGACGCCTTTTTATTTCAATTATATGTGATGTATTTATTTATTTTGTCTTTTTTGATTTATGCCCTTACTTAAGGGATTAGTTCTTTGTAAGCCCCGAGGGCATTGTTGTCTTTTATTTTTCCCTTCTTGTATTTGTCCATTTAAGTCCCTCCTCTTCTTGGAGAAGGGCTAATTAAGATTATTATGAAAGTTTCTACGTTTTTGCTCTTGTGAGAGTCAAGAGTTCTTGGAGAAAACTTAGAGAAAGTCCCTTGGTGAAGGGCAAAAGCATCCCTGTCTAGTGTTTCTGGATCCCAAGCGGCTGCCAGAGTTTTTTCCTGCACCAGTCTCTAGTATTCCGGCAACTCAAGGGCTTACAAACTGCCGTCCAGGAAAGACAGCTGGCTGCCCCTCTTTTCCCGCCAGCCCCTATTACTGCAGCGCCTTCGGGACAGCTTTACATTGCTGTCCAACTGATCGAATAAGTCCATGTTCACTGCCTGAGACTTTTCTGGGCATGAGAGTGTGCTGTCCTGAGAAAACCTGCACCTGTTTCTTGCTGTCCAACCAAGTGGAAGGTCTTCAAACGCTGTCCGGACGCGTTGGATTGCTGATCACACCATCAAGAAGGTTTGTGGATGCCACCTACCTCCTTCCAAGCCTTCCTATGACCACTAGAGCTTCGTATACTTCATACTTCGGGTAAACTCGACCTCCGACTCTTTTAGCCTCTTAGTTTATTTCTCCAACGTGGTTATATTTTGATTCACAAAGATGTAGTTGGTCCCTCCGCTAAAGGCTAGTAATATGAAGAGATGAGTGAAGGTTTCCTTATAGTAACTAGTCTTAATGTTAACAAAGGGATTTATTATTGAGACCATTCACGTATGCAAAAGTAGATTAAATTGATTGATTTTTATACTCTTAACTTCTATGCACGTAATTTAACCAACGCTATTTATCACTTTAATATTTTATTTTATCGTTCAAATCAACATAAGATCTTGCTTATTATTGTTCTCTAAAACTAAACGTGCAAACGTCGTTAAGCATCTCATCTTCCCATGATTGTTCTACATCACGGATCCTTTGCATGATTTCATGTGAGGAGCTACATTGTGAGCCCTCACCTTCCTGAACTATTCCTCGATTTTATGTTGTTGGGAATATAAACCCCAACTTTCAAAAACAAATTCATTAACTTTAACATAAATTTAGGAGAAAAGGGGAAAAATGGTTCATTGACTCTTTAAGAAAGATCAAAATGATCACCAACTATATTAAAATACCATATTGGTCCCTCAAACCCTTCAACAGGATTCAAAATAGTCTCATCATGGGACTATTTTTATTTCTTTTTAAGGACTTGAGGAACCAAAATGGTCATTTAATATAGTTGAGGGCTATTTTGATCATTCATAAAGAATCAATGGATCATTTTGATCCTTTTTCTATAAATTTAATTTTAAAATGTAAAGCCCAGCATATGAAAATTTTGATATAATAGATTTTTTCATAATCAAGTACTCATACTCTTTTTTTTTTCCTTTAGCTTCTACCAAAAATTAATTTTGAAGTTAATCCAATCACCCTCAAAATTCCAAAGAACAAACCTTTAGCATGAATTTCTCAAAAATTATATAAAATGTTAATCAATAGTTTGATAAACAAATAAAAACTATTATTTTAATCAAAAAATTTCTCAAGAGGCAAATTGAGATATAATTAACTATAGGGGCTTGCACTTTTAATAAATTTGAACACTAAAATAAAATAAAACCTACTCAATTAAATATTTTGGGCAAGGAAAAATCACTAAGAAAAAAACAATTATTTAATTATTAAGTGCATAACAGGATAATATTTTATCTCTCAAAATAATATATTATATTATGTGTCATACTCGATCACAAACTATTCCAAATCCACCAAGGAAAGAAAAATTTTCATTCAGCATTTACACGCTAAATGTTGATAATAATGATACTAAAATAAGTCTATAAAAAGTCGGATCATAAGAGATATGTTGGCAGAGGCAAAAGTTCTTTTAAGATGAACCTCCAGAGGAGCCAAGAGTTCCCAACTTTCAATATTGGAAAGTTGGGATGCAGCCCAATCTTGATCGATGGTTCATTGATAATAATGTCCTAATTTAAAGCCTATTGCACTCAATTAGCCATATTTATGAATATTAATTATTATATTAGTTCAAAAGATCAGCATGACATATTATATACTTTTTTCTTATAGTTTGAAATTTAAATTATTTATCTCACGAGCTTTTAGCTCATCAAATCTTATTATGATTGTTGTTTCGGGAAAACAGCAAGTTGGGCCTTAGTCAAGTGACCCATTTTTTCATGTAACTTAACATTTTGGATGTATCATAAGTTAATAATATTCATGATGTCAACTAAAGACTTTTGGTATCTATTAATCATCTATCAAAACTATTGGAAACTCTATAGTCTATTTTAATAATTTAAATTGTGCATGCATTTGCATTAATGATAATAATGAATTGGAGGATTATTAATAGTGTATATGTTGTGACAATCTAGGCAGACTAGATTTCTACTCAATTCCGATTAATAATAATCAATATATATGTTGATGGGGAATATGTTTAACTGGATTGCCCACTCTATTATGCGTAATGCTTGATTGAATGGTTAAAATGAAGCATGACATGTATAATCCTTTTCCATTATGTGATAGGTAGCATGTTCCATAGTAAAAGGCAACATGTGAGCAATAACACAGAATGGCTAGTTAAGATGATTTTACATGTTGAAAAAAATCAATAGAGACTTCAGGAGATGGGCTAAGTATACAAATATCCCAACAAGCAAGATGAAACTGTTGGACAAAGGGTAGAAAAAGTGGGAGGGTCGTGATTCCATAGGTTTGAAAACACTAGCTAAACTCCAAAATTAAGTGTAACAGTAGTATTCAATAGCAAATTAAACAAGGATTCTTGTTTTCAAATTGATTGATACTTGTGAAGAGACTGTTGAATCATCATCATTCCAAAACTATGTTACCCATATAATGTATGTTATCAAGCACAAATGGCAACGTGAACTTTTAACTGATCATAGGAATTTAATTACGTGGAATCTCAAATTCTTATACTAGAAAGTAAATTGTGAAGATTTCTATATAACAACAAAAACAAACTACAGAGAATTTATAGAATGCATCCGTGAGGATATGATGCATAAATATAAGTGTTTTTCTCATGCATCATATGTGTGGGCGTGGGCGTGTGCATGAGAGAAAGAAAAAGAGCATAATATCGTAATCCATATTAAAATGAAAATAGGCACAATAGCATTCTGCAAGGCAAATAATTACACTTTCTTATTAGAAATTAAAATATTCTGAATTCTACAAATCACAATCATGGGGTGTGATCCTGTTTATTCTTTCCCCTTTTTTTATTCCTCTCTAAATTAATGCATAGCAGCAACGCGAGGCTTCCCTGCAATTATTTTAGGAATATTGTAAGTCACTAAGTCCCATTGTAACGTATGGCCCAATAGATCTTTCTTAGAAGAAACAAAATTCAGATTCAGACAATTATTTTTTGCTCAGCAACTTCACAGGATAACATCCTCAAGAATAAAGCAGAAACTGCAGATTTTATTTGAACGTAATTCAATCTCATAGCTAGAAAAAGGAATACCTGATTAGTACAAGCAACAAAGTTGCTTGTAAGATTCCATGAAGTTATTTGCAGCTCCCTTTCAATATGAGAGGCAGCAGCTAGGGTTATAGCTTCATCTGGAAGTTGGTTCATTGCAGAAGACAGCCCAATGGGATGAGTAAGCCTGCTTATTCCTAGGCGTTTGAGACGGTAAAGACCTGCTTGCATACTCTCATAAGAGCAAACCTAGTAGAAATTGCCGAGATGGAGGGTGGCAAGGCAAAACAAACAAAACATTAGTACTAGAAGGAACATGTGATACCACAAATACTCCAAAACGATGAAAAGATGCAAGTTATTTCTGCTACAAAAGATAGATAAAAATTCTTGCACAAATCACTGATGCATATGGCTAAGACAAATGTTTATAAATATTATGGGAAGAATAATGTAGATAATAGGAGATAAAATGAAAAACATTAAGTGATTTGATATAAACAATGAAGAGTAGAAAATATGATCATTAGAAAAATAGGTGAATTTATTATCTGATGATAAAAAAATGAAGCTAAAAATTGCATGAATAACTTTGCTCAAAATGATTGGCAAATAATCAATTTAATACCTTAGATAGCACTCAACAGAGAAAAAAAAGAAAAAGATTACTCATAAATCAATTTAATACCTTTTTGACTTCTCTGTCAGTCATTTCTACGTGACAGCTGGCACTTCAGTGGAAAACATTTAATGGTTTTTTTTTCTCCTTCATGCATCCTTCAGTCGTTATGGTTTCCTCTAGCGATGTCATAATGATTCTTCCAATATTTAAATGCTATGAAAATCAAATCTGTTTCGTTTATATTCTATTCTGATGTTTACTTACTATATCTACCAATACTTCTCAGTAGGGACTGGCTTTCAATCCAGATCTCGGGAAAGCACTATGGTGGACTTACAACCTCGGGGATGAGAAAGGCCAAAAAGTGAACCTGATGGCCTTGCCCTATAGATAAGGTGGCCCATTTAATTATGCTGATATAAAGGACTTGATAACTTTAAGTTGGCCTAGTTAACTTGGTTGGCTTGACAGGCTAATTGGTTTCATGTCAGCACAATAAATCAAGTTTGGACTTACATCCCTTGGAAAGCCCTTAAATTAGTCTTATAACCTTGCCCACTAATTGGTCTTATGGCCTATAAAGTAAGGTAAGGCGCCTAACTGATTAAATTATATTGATTGGCTTCTCAACTTTACATCAACCATAATAATTGAGGTGGCGCTCAAATACATTAAAAAAATCATGAGTTACAACCTAGAAAATGAGGGAAGCCCATTACTTTGATTTGATTTGAACAATTATTCTGAATTTTACTAGGATTATTAGAAATTAAAACTCTATTAGTTAGGGAGACCTAATGGACAAGGCTTATAACACTAGATTTACGGGGAGCCTGATTTAGGCCTTGTTGTGCTGGCTTTAAAATGACCTATAAGGCTAAATCTTATGAACCTATATAATATAGGTGGAAGCACGCATGATAGATCTTATAACATCACCCCATAGGCAGGTAAGGTGTTGGCACCATAATCAAATTGGTTACAACAAGCTTAGATGAATTTCTTTGTTTGTTATTGAAACGCCTTAACTCTAAATAGCTTTTTTATGAATTTGAATGTATTATAACCAATTATTACACACGTGCACGTGTTAAGCAAGCATTTATTGCATCAACGTGTTAATTGATAAGCTTTGCATAAGTCAATTTCATTTTCTTTTATATTTCAAATTAAAAAGCGATCCTAAGACAAATTTCTTAATTATCACACACAATTTTTTGGATGATCTCCAATAGTCTACTCAGATCATTCCGTGGATCAAAGGTGTGTTCAGAAACCACTGAATTTTTTAAGGGACCATGCTGGCAGTGATGAAACAAAATTCACCTCTAATGATACGAAGGCATCCTAAGAGTGTCAACAGCATCAAAGACAATTGGATTGAATTCCCCTCAATGATAGTCTTGACCATTATTGAGTTTCAACTTGAAGAAATCATCATCATAAAGAAATCACTCATTATTATTGGGCCAAAGATCAACAGAGAGAAGCAAAATCTCATGCTAGACCAAAGATCAACAATAGGCGGTTGATCTTCAAAACTCAAACAAAATGAAACTCAACAACACAAGGCTTTCAATTTAGCCAAACCAAAATACAATGATTCTAAGGATATGGTTGGGATAACTTTCTCGCTGCTTTGTTTTTCAAATAGCAACTACAATTTCATATAACTACTGCTTTCTTGTTGCTTTCTCATTGTTTTCAGACATTTATGCAGTGGAAATTGCTTTTTGCCGCTAAAATAACGATTTTATTTTTCCTACAACAACTTCACGACAAACTTTACAAAAAGTTCTAGCCATCCCAAACCGACACTAAGATTATTCTCATACATTCATTTGAACTTTCTCAAAAAATTCCTTCTATTTTTCTTTATGAACTTGCCAACAATTGAAAGAACATAGCATCTGGCTTTCCACAAATTGTCATGTAAAACTCACAAATCAAGTAACATTTAGCGATAAAATCAAGCTGGACATATATTTTCAACTCTTGATTTCCTGCACAAAATGAAAATGATTAAAAAAAAAATTTACAAAATGCTATTTTTCTTCTATTATTTTGATATAAAATGTATATATATTAAAATATGTAAATTAGGTTAGATGAATTAATTTACTATTTAAATTAATCAAGCTCAGCTCTCTAAAATGTTACTGTTCAAGGAAAGTATTGTACTGTTCGTTCTTTTTCTTTCCCACTGAGGCATATGGAAAATTGAATGGTTGTGATTGTTCAGGGGAATAATTATAATTATAAACTTATTTATATAAATATACTAAAGCATTACTTCATGGCCACATTCCGTTTCCCATTCACGTAACTCCTCCAATTGCAAAAAGAGGGGGTGACTTGGAGCTAGGGAGGAGTGGGCTGGAAGCTTGGCTTTGGTTAGAAAATCTAATTTCTTGTAATTTTCTCAGCGAGCTGACTTTGGACTGAGGTTGGTATGTTTAAGAGCTCTCATGTGTAGCGTTCATTTTTAAGGTAAAAGATTATTTTGAGGCTATTTTGATTCAGATTTTTTATTTGGTAAGTTAGAATATTTTTCTGATATGAAAAATTTATGCTTTTTAGATTGTGTATAAAAGAGAGGTTTCATGGTGATCGGTGTGATGAAAGATGTCCTAGTGTTGACTAGGACAACAACATCAAGCATTTATCCCACTACATAAGGCCGGCTACATGAATCCCTTTTCTCCATTGTGTCCTGTTAAGAGACAAATTCTCATTTGAATCTAATAAAGAAATGTCATTTCTAATATTTTCTAACCAAGCTTTTTTAGATCTACCTCTATCTTAACATAAGCCAAATCTAATACATCTACTTTCCTAACCGGGTCATCGGAAGGCGCCGTTTTATGCAACCAAACCATTTAAGGTGACTCTCTCTAATCTTATCTTCCACTGGAGTTACTCCAACCTTTTCACTTATATGCTCATTTCATATCATGTCTGATGTAAAACATATGCATGGAAACAAGAACTACTTGGGGATTTTAATATAAGAGTATTAAAACTTTGCTAGTTATAGAATTAATACTTACCCAAGTTAGGCTTCAGAATTATCAAGTAGAAATTATGTAAGACATGCGGTTACAACTAGAATAACATGGTACTCTCAGATGAACAACATGAAATAAATAAGACAATGTTATGGTTAAGAAACAAGAATCCACGGTTAACAAATAGATCTCTTCACCTTAGGTCCCTCACTCACTCTCTTGTTGGTGACACTTTTAATGGAGGAAGATTGAGAGCAACCGAGCGATGCCACTAGGAGACAAATGGCGCCCAAAGTGTAGTCCGTTGGGGAGGTAGCCGGTGGCGGGTAGTCCACGGGATGACTAGCGAGCATCCAACGTCCGGGAAGAATAGGCTCCTCGATGGAAGGTACTAGCGTGAACAAGATGCGATTTAAGTAATCCTCCACGGAAGAGTCCACGTCAAGGTTTACGTCGAAGAAAGGGGATTCAAGGATGTTGGTTCGTCCTTGATCATCAAGTAAGAAACCATGGTCGACTTCCGGATCGGCCATGCATGATGGTGGTGGTGGTTGGGAGAATCTCTCTTGAGCTTGGGGAGGAGGAGGTGAGGAGATAATGGGAGAAGACTTGGGAGGGTGAAGGGGTCGGCTATGGGCGGAGTTGTTTGGGTTGAAACAAGTGATTTGGGGGACAAAGAGAAGAGAGGGAAAATCTGAAGTTTAATTTTAGATTTTCCTTAATGGAAGAAGCTAATTTGAAATTCAAATTAACCCAATTAAGGGATTAATGGGGCCAGCGGTTATTAGGGGATTTAGGGAGGAGGGATTAATGTTGCTTAGGTGGCAAAGTGGAGAGAGAGAGAGGGGAGAGGGAGGGGAGAAGTAAGAAAACTGAAATTAATTTCAGCTCAAGTGAAATTGGAGGGAGGATATTTGAAATCAATTTTGAATTTCAAATAAGGGGGAGGGGCATTGAATGCGCATTCAATGGGAAACCCCATTAAGGGGCCGGCGGCATCAAGGAGGAGGAGGGGATTAGGGAGGAAGGGAAGGGGGTTTCCAAATGCGTCATGATGACTAGGAAAGAAAATTATTAAATACAATTTGATTTAATTTGAAATTGGATTCAACATAAAGAACTTTCCTAATTTGGACTTCCCAATTTATAAAGAATTTGAATTTCAAAATTTGAATTTCAAAAAGATGGCTAAAGGAAGAGAGGGGTGGTGGGCGGCGGGAAGGGGGTCGGTGGCAAGGTGGCCGGCCGGTGGTAGGATGGCAGTCGACGGTTTGGGCTCCAAGGGATGGCGGCAAGGAGGTGGGGGTCGGGTTTTCCAAGCCAATGGGTGTGGTTGTCTCCTCTTAAGGTGAAGGGGGGGTCGATGGAAGAAGATAAGAAAATCAAGAATCACGAACCTTACATTTTCCCCTAGAACTCACAAAGAGATCTAATAGCTTTCTCCTCAAGAACTCACAAAGAGATCTAGAATAGTTTTGGAACTCACAAAGCGATCACCAAGAAAACTTTTTCATTCATCAATAATCAACCCCTAGTACAATGCATGAGGCCTCCTATAAATAGGTCAAAATAAAACAAAACTAAAAGACATAAATGTCATCGGGGCCACAATATCAAAT